TGGCGTATCTCAAGGGAAAGTGTGAGAAATGTATCTCATAAAGTATTAATTAGAGGGGTAAATATACTAGAAAGAATCTAGAAATTGAGCTACTAATCGCGTACCTCGCTCTGTTTGCAATGAATTACTTCTGTGAGTAATACCAAATAGTGCTGCATAAAGTAACTACTGATCATATATAGGTAGATCAATCTAATCTTGCAATTCGAGTAAAATATTATTCGCTTATATCTCCGTCGTAGAATTAAAAGGTTGCTACAATTTTATGATCGTTTATTATACTGTAAAGCTGGAAATGCTACACATAGGCATGTATCGTTATAAGATTTTTTTATTTCTTTATTCCCCATACTGACTAAATAATGAATTAATACGCATATTTACAATAATTTTTTATTTATAGTCCACAGTACGACTTTCAATGGAAAAGTAGCATGATATTCAAAATTTAAAATCGTCGCATTTGTACAGTTACCTATAACTGAAAATGCTGTATATAATTAAGCACATATCCTCACAAGTTTATTTGTGTATAACATATATATTTCCTGTATCATGACTACGCTGACTGAATAATAAGCTAAGACCTGATTGAGTTCATTACTTCTACTGTATTTGTACGACTATCGGCGCAGCGGTAGCATAGCGTTCATGATTTAAAAACTATTATTTAGATGTGCCGCTACTAATAGTCGGACATACCGTTGGAATGGGCATTCAATTTCATTTATCTACGCAATAATTCTCAGGATACTATCATTTTTCGCTGGCGCAGCTCGGATTCCTACTTTCTTTCTGTTTGCTGTATTTTTTGCTAATAGATCTATCTAATCTTAAGGATGACCGTAATCTTTGTTTCTAATCTAACGGCGGAAAATATCCATCATGTTGTATATTTATCTCTACAGTACGAGTTTATAATAACCTATAGAAAAGTATAGCTGCATTTTTAAACTCTATTCTTGGAACATGGTAACATCAACACAATCAATGACTCTTTAAGTGATTAGCATCATCTTTCTCTTACATAGCCTGCTACGATCCTACTGGCGATGGCCTACAGCTTAAATATCTCACAGATGCCCCTATTTTGAAAGGTTGCACAGTTTACATTGGATCAGTTTTCTTTACCATGTATCGAATGCATACGCAAGCTGATGTCAATGTAACCACTTATCCTGAACTACGCGAAATTACTGGGTCTTTAGTGCTCAATTTAGTAGCTGGAAAATATTTGGTTTCATTAAGCTCTGTCTTTCCAAATCTTCGTGTCATACGTGGCAATCAGTTCTTTTATGGACTTACTTTACTTTTCTACTTTGATCAGCAGTTGCTCGATATGGCATTGCCATCTCTT